CCTCTGGCCCGTTTGCACAGTTGCGGTTGTCCATGCGACTGTTGCAAATTTCGCTTACGGCATTTTGACTGTTCGCCGCTTGTTGGGGCCTCGAGGGCGTTGCTGGACGTATGATTATGGGAATTGGAGCTATCATCGGCAGATATCTGTACGTGCGACTGGTCGCGTAGGGTGCTGTCCGACTGACAGTTTCCTTCCTGCGCTTCAGGATATGCGTTAGAGTTTCTTTTCTCGACATGCATGTCGGGAAGAAGTGGTGGAGGGTCAGGATATTGACAAAAGGTTTCCGAAATGATGGCATCGCCGTCCGTATGGATATGCAGGCGTTCATCTTCTGTCTCCCAGAAGCCATTGTTGGCGAGGATCAGTGGATCGATCGGAATGCTATTCTGTTCGTCTGCCGGTTGGAGAAATTCTTGCCAACCCTGGTCCGAGCTGGATACACTGGATGACGATGTGCAAGTCAAGGCATTCTCTGGGAAAAAGAGCGCATCAATTGAGGAATCAATAGTGTTGACTCCGCGTGACGTGGATGAATCCGGCGGTGAGGTTGAACCAGCTCCATTTCTTGTAAACTGTTCCAGCCGCTCTGCGTGCTGCGTGTCAGATGATGTGGCGGGCGTATTGGCGGGAGTTGTGACAGGTATTGTGGCAGGTATTGTAGCAGAGTAAGGCTTAGATAACTTCTGTGACTGAGACTGAGAGCCACAGAGGGTGCCAGATGGCATCACGGCACTTGAATGAAAACAAACCTCAGCTGGAGGCCGCGCCGGAAGCTGATGTTTGGGAAATGAAATCGCTTGGGGAAGGGGGGACTGAGGAAGTTTGATGGCAGGGGACTCATCGGAAGGAGGGTGTATGCGTGAGTGCTTGGAGGAGGATCTCGTGCGGAATGGGGGAGTCCATTTTTTGAAGTTATCAGCGTGAAATACAGGTAACATATTGGAGTGAGAGGAGAGTGGGAGAATCTGGTGGAATATGGGTGCGCGAGGATCAGGCATAAGGTGAGAATGAGGTTGGAGCAAGAGGGAATGTGCAAGTGTTGAAGGAAAGCAAGCCTCCATACTAATATCATCGGGAGCTCAATCATCCCTTCTTATACTTTCGCTCGTCAGTAAATTCTCTCGTCGCTCCCACCTTACACTCGCAAGGCAGGTTTCGTCCCTGTTTCGGTTACTCCTAAATCAGCCAATGTTCTGACCTTTGGTCGATTTGCCCGGAAATTGGGGTAGACCGGTCTTCGCCAACCACATCGGCCTGCTGCCCCCCAGCCTCGCGTTCCAAATTTCTTGGAAACAAAAGCTTTCCAAAAGCTCATGCGGCAATTTTGCTATTGGCCAGCAGTCGAGGTGAGAGTGTACGCTCGGGGGGTACAGAGGATGGTGGGTCAAAGCTCGGCCATGGATGGCATAGGATGCGATGCTGGTCAGCTGCGCCCACAGACCCGCGGCGAGGGGTCAACAAGAAAAGCAATTCCAACCGCGCGAAACATTCCCTGCTGCCTCACTCGGGATTTTACGTCCACGGAGATGGTGGAGACGCAAAAAACGGGCTGGACACTACAATCAGAAAGAGATGAAGCAGGGGAAACGAAGCATCCACATTCACTGCCCATGGCAACACAAGGCGCGATTCGCCGCGATGCCACGAGCACAAGTAGCCTCAAGATGGCCACTCGCTATAGAGTGCGCATGAACAGGGCAGAAACGGATAGCTGAGATACCAACAGAGCGATAGTCACTGATAGGTCGAGCTTTCGGCGACTCCGATGCTGAATGGGGCGAGAAAAGAGGAGACACGGACAGTGCCATACCGAAAAAGGGCAGTGTTCGGATAATGCGGCATCGTGGGAGGGGGCCAGTGTGCCCGGGAGCAAGGCAGGCAGCAGGAGAAAGAGGATGAGAAAGTGCGTCGCCTTTCGAGGGAGGGAAGACAGGGTTATATAGGTCGAGCGGGGGGGTTGAGGCGGCAGGCGATGGGCGCAAAAGCGGCGAGAACACGGGCGCGATCCCCAAAGCGGACACGCTAGG